GCGACGGACAAGTACTGATAATGATAAGATGAGGTCAAGGCAGATGGTGTTAATGGTTAACAAATGAAAAAAAAAAAAAGTCAGATCAGGGCTGGGCAGGCAAAAATCTCCCTTATTGTCATCCCTAACTAATTGCAGTAGGACAAGTCAATTTATAATAGAGATTTGTGTTATTGCGAATTATTGGAGTATTCTGGGATTGAATGATCGAGTTTTCCCTCCTCTGTTGCTACAAAGTTATTGGTTTGCTGTTTAACAGCACCAGAACACCCATATTTCTTCTAGTTTCTTCACTGTCCAGAAACCCAGCAACCATTCTACTGACTTCCAGCCTTCTTTTAAGATAAATCTAAAAGAATTCAAATCAATCATAGCCATAAATCCTAAAATCCCCAATTTTCAAGCCCTTGCTCAGCATAACCATAAAGTAGCAAGATTACCCAAATGTATGTCCTCTATCATCACCTCGGTTATTCCTTCCAACTAGGTTGCATTCCAACTAGAAAACTTACTAATGGACTAGTAAATAACCAACTTAGACTCCAAGAAAAAACATAAGCTCGTAGTCGTAGAACAAACTAAAGTTGACAAAATAAGATAATAAACCAGGGTAGGAAGTTAATGAAAGTACAATTCCCAACCCTGGAATTCATAATTAAAATCACAAAATGCTAGAAAGAAACTTGTTCAACAAAGAGCAATGAATTAAGTTTTTCAATGGCTGCATCAATTAGCTTTAACCTTGGTATATTTTTTCACTCATGACTCTACATTTGGTCCCTTTATGCCAGAGGAATAGACTTACTCTCCTGCACTACTTTTATCAAGTTTTTCCATTAAGTTTCACTTTTCTGCCATTAGCTAAAAGAAAGGTATGCACTACAAGAAACAAAAGCAGAACAATATGACCTACAAACCATATGTTTTCTACGACTTTTTTCCTCTTTGATCTAGACATCCAGATATCATTTAATTTTCAATTATATATTTGAATATATATGAATATAAGTTTAGCAGATTACTTTTGCCAAAAAATATGGGTTAAGTTACTTACAGTGACAGCATTAAGCAGAGCAGGGCGCTCATCCATGGTCTCCCCAAGCCCAAACCCTCCAACCCAATAACCTGCATAAGATATATTTGAACCATTACTTCAGATATTCAATAACCAGAAAGAATATGCAAACCAAAACAAACACGTTAATAACGAGGACTACGAATAAAATAAAATCCAAAGGATCTAAGTTTCAAGGTAGCAAGTGTGCATCTACATTAAGATAAGTGGCCTAAGGGGCTATGAAGCATGGAGACACCAATAACCCATCTGCAGAGCTGTCATACACAGATATGCTAGAATACGTATCCAATGTGTCTAGATACGAATGAAAAGTAAAAAATAATAATATTATTAATCCGGACACCAAGATGAACTGTTAAGATTCAGAAATGACAGAGCACAAGGCAGTGATGGCTGATTTGAAAGAGGTCAGTACGTATTGGGGGAAAAGGGGGCTTTTGTTAATGACAAAAAAAAAAGCTAACTTGGGATGGGTCAAAAAGATTTTTAAGTTTAATAATATTAGCCCATGTATGAACTTGTAATACCAAATTTGCTCAAATCTATCTAGTCAAGGTGATACCACTGTTGTTACCTTTCCAGAGATGGTGTTAAATACTCTCTCCTTGTTTTTCTTCGAATTTCGAAGGTCCATCCCTGTGTCCAAATTAAATAATATTGCTTTTCTTTTTACATTTCAGCCATAGCTAGCTGTGTAAGATACATATCCATGTCCGACATAGATATAACACTACACCTGTCTGAGCTACATGGAGATGAACTTATGTGTTTGGTTCTAAACCTACTTCAATATACTCTTACTTTGGACTTTAGGCTGCAAGTACGGTTAAGCCAAATATCATACAATCTTTTTAGACTATCAAAATTTCTGTTCAATAGGTCAGTTTTTCTCCCTACATACTTGAAGAAATTATTTTCTTCCAAATCTAAAACAATATCAATAACCATGTCCGTGAACAATGGATTGTTGAATTAGATTTCATAGACAAAAAGGAAAATCTATCCAATTCCTAGTTCCAATATAGATTAATCATTCAAGCTAATAGTGGCAAAAAGCTTAAACTGACAATTAATACACCAAGTACCAATCCTTACGGTGTCCTATGTTGCATAGACTTGGGTACAAGTATCTAATACGAGTACGTATCCAAGGGCCTGACTCCCCTTTCATCCAAAATTTCGTAATGCAAAGTCAGTTAAAAAGAGTCAGAAATAAGATAGGGATATGCTTTATACTAATATATGACAATTGAAATTCCAAAACCAATATGAAAATTATAATTTAAGAAAACTAGGTTTTGGCTCTTTTATCTTGTTAAGAAGTTAAGAAAAATAAATTTGGATTTTGGTCCTTCATGTTATAAAAAGAATAATAAATAAAATAACAATTTATATATAATATATATGAGTAGTTTGTTACAAGATGAAAGCTGTGTTGGGAGTGAATGGGCCTAGTGGACTGTTAGACTGTTAGTAGGTCAAGTCCAATAAATAAAGATTAATTTAAATATCAGCTAAATTAGTTACTAATTGTGGGATTAGTTATCCTGCCATGTCAAAGTTTGTTGAGGATATTTAATTGGTACAATTAATTATAACCACACACAATTTTATCCAATGAATTGAATCCATAGATTCTCTCTCTGCTGTCCTCTCTTCCTCTCGTCTTCTTTTTTGCATTTCTGCTAAAGTTACTCGTTCTATTTTTATATTGTTCAATTTGGATCATACTATTGGTATCAGAGGTGAAAATTCTGGCATGGCAGATGGTGTGATGACTCATTAACAAAAGGAGGTTGGACTTGAAAATATGGAAGCAAAACTGAAATGCATGCTGGCTTGGACAAAATGGAAACAGAGATGTAAAATATGTTCGATCAGACAGTAGCAAGATTGGATGGTTCTTCAAAGTTGGTTGAAACTAGAGATTCTGGGGAAGCTAACTCTTCAATGATGAAGCAAAAAAGGATCTTGGAAATCAGTGGAGTGAAACAGACCATTTCACATGGATTTTCCTATTGTGGCTGTTACTCACACCAAGTACTCTAAAGTGGAGTGTCCACACTTTGATGGGATTGATTTCAAAGGGTGGTTCCTCAAGATCAAGCAGTTTTTTGAAACTGACCAAATGATAGACCATGATATAGTCAGAGCGGTGATAATGCATTTGGATGGAAAGGCTTTACAATGGCACCAAGGTTTGACGAACAAGGGTAAGCTTACTGAAACTTTATGGGGACAGATATTATTGAAATGAATGCTAGGTTGATGTGTATGAATTTCCTCACCCAATGTTTGAGCTTGCCAGTTTGAAGCAAACTCATTCTGCAGTCTTACTATGAAGAACTAGAATGTTTATTAAATATGATGCAGTTGTCTGATGAAAATGCTCTTAGCAGATTTATTAGTAAATTGAACCCTGAGATATCAAAACCAATAAGGATGTTCTAACCCATGCTTATAATCTAGCCATGCAAAGGAAGTCCCTCATATTCAACTTACCTAGAAATGCCTCAATTCTTACAAAACACCTTTAACAGCACCACTTTTACAAACCATTATCCCTAATCCATCCAAAACTGTTACCTCACCCCTGCTTCCTACACCTAAACCACCCTCCTAGCTTACAGCCAACGTACAAAAAATGCAGCCCCAGCCATTACTTACAAATCCAATCCCAGTAAACCAGATTTTAACTCACCTAAGAGTAACAGACTCCCTACCAAGGAAGAAAAGAAGAAGAAAGAGAGAGAAGAGAGCAGAGAGAGGAATCTATGCATTCAATTAACTGGCATAAATTTTGTCATTACAATGAATTGTACCAGCTAAATATCCTCAATAGACTCTGATATCAGCAAGAATAACTAAACCCACAATTAAAAACTAACTTAACTGACATTTAAATTAATCTTTATTTATTGGACCGGACCTACTAACAATCTAACAGTCCACTAGGCGCATTCACTCCCAATACCACATTCAGCTTGTAACAATACACCATCCCTCAAAGGATCCTTGAGCTCCAGGATCAAAAGAAGGAAATTTCTTCTGTAAATCATATAAAACCTCCCAAGTTGCATCCTCTGGAAAACTATTGCTCCACTGCACCAGAACCTCTGTAACCAGCCTGCCTCTCTTCTTGTTCATCTCTCTATCTAGAATTGTGATAGGTTCCTTGACCAGAGTTCCATCTCTATCCAACATATTAAAATTGAATTGTGTTTTTCACATGCTTTTTCAGCTTGGATACATGAAACACATGATGTATGCAAGCACTATCTGGTAATTCCAACCCTTTCCAGCACCCTGTAAGGACCAAAGAACTTAGCAACAAGCTTCAGACATAGCTTGTTGACCATTGATATCTGCCTGTAAGGTTGGAGTTTGACATAAACAAAATCACCTATCTCAAATCCCGTCTATCTATGTTTGTCTGCCTTCTGTTATATTCTATTTTTGGATGAAATTTCAGAAGTTGTATAGCTGCCTCTCTGCTTCCAGGCTTCTGTCTACTTCTACCTTGTTTAGATGTAACATAATTTAATTGATATTATTCTAATGTTCTAATTGTGTTTTTTCTTTCTTAAAATAAAACCAAAGCTAATTAAAAGGATTAAATAAAAAAGATCTAATTAAAGGGGGTCACAAAAGCCAACCATGTGCACTCATGACTTATCTAGAATCTTCTTGTCATTGTAGTCTTCGTTCTCTTTTCTTTTTTATCAAAGTGCAGCATTCCCCAAATCAGGAACAATCACCCTTTTTTATCAAAACAAATGGAAAAAGGCCAGAAGCATGTGGTGGTGTAAGACAAGAACTAGGTGCACTATGGAGCTGCTTTCACAATCTTGCAGTCTTCCTTCTCATCTCTATAATAATTTCATTTACTTCTTGTTTTCCCTCTTTTTTTCTCTTTTCTTGATCTTCTCTCCTTCTATTTTCCCAGAGCAAATGCTTCCTCTTATACCTCATTTTTTTGTCATTTTGTCAATTTAGTGTCTACATAACCTAGCAATAACCCATTGTTGTCTCTGCTGCTCACTTTGTTCATTTCTGAGTCTGAATAACCAGTGCCATAAAAAACACATATTCCACGCCCAAATCCATCTCATCTCATGTCGACAAATGAACAGTGCCCTAAAATCCCAAGTATAAGTAATAGAGATGGTGTTGATGCAGCAATAAATGATGGATTTGTGGTAGTTCTATAGTTACAAGGGAATGAGACCTCAAGGCCACTTGAAGGTGAGTAACCAGAAGCTTCTTATTAATAGATATACTTATAATACTGAACTAGATAACAATAACCATTCCAAGGCAGAAGTAAGGTAAGTCCCCTTCACAATAGAACTCTAGGGTAAAGTTCAGTGATCATAGGAAGCCATTCAACTTATTATATACTTGTTCAGTACAAGAGCAAGTAATCTTACAATTACCTGCCTGCATTCCTAAGTCACAGATAGATTTCAGTAATTAGTAGTTTTAAAGGAAGACGCATATCTTGAAATTCCAAGCCTAACTTGGCAGTTATTGCTGCAACCTCTGTTAATTGACAAAATTTTATGCAGTATGTCATTTTCACAAGCTAACAAGGTTCCAGTTACGTTAATTCTTACCTAATTACGAGGCCTCAAACAGCTATTCTATTCCTCACCTCCTTCAATTTCATTCTCAGGGTTTTACTGTTATTATGGTAAGCAGTAACTGCAATAAATCAAAGGTATATGATCTTGTAAAACCACTAACATACTTCCTCCTGCAACTTTACTTAGCCACCACAATCTAAAAGAAAAATGTTGCCATATCTGTGTTCGCCCTTGAAGCTCAGTATCTGCCCTTGAAGTTCATAGACTGACAAGAAGTGGCCCTTGAAACAGTACGATTCTTGAAGATGCTTTAAAACACTGTCTCTTTTAGGGCTTTATAAAATCTCATTAAGTATATTAGAAATTATAAAGGATAGAGGTTTTGCTCTTACTTATATATTTGTAGTGTGCCTCTTCCTTTGGCACTTGTAAGATATGTCAATCATGATACTCTAAAACTAAATGAAAAAAAAAAAAAAAAGTCATGCACACTGGCAATTAATCAAGTCATCATTATATGCGCAACTTCATGCTTAGGAAAGGAAATGATATCATATAGTAAAGTAAGAATTAGAAAGCTTTTCTGAAAGAGGAGCATCAAATTAAAAAAGGAAACAATTGCATGAATAGGACTAACGATAATTCATCAGTGTTAAGAAATGTAAGATGAAGAAAACAAGAAAACAGATTGATAATCTTGTCTTCTATAGATCAACATTTTTTCTTCTTCAACGCAAATCAATTACATTTACAGACATTTTGGTCCCACCTACTTACATAATAAATGACATTTGCGTTGAAGAAGCCAAATCATGCGTCGAAACAGGCTCACCCTAGAAACTATCACCTATACTCACCCTAAAAAATGGACACTGAAATGCTCCCCATATCATATGATGGACACATGGGATGACCTCCTTTAATGAGAAAATTGAAGATCAGAAACATGCTAAGACCAATAGTTTAAAAAGTATGCGTTTATTATTATAGAGGAAATATTTTTGCACTTCCATCCACAGAAACCAACCAATTGGATCCAGTCTCTTCAAGAAAGGTGAGGGTCATACCAAAAGAAAAAATGTGTAAAAATCATGAAACAAAGATGTTTGGCCTTCACCAAAAACAGATAGCTTTAAGTTCTATTGTCATGGTCCAAATCATTCTCAATAGCCTTTTGTACTCCTGGTTTATGATGTAAGACAGACAATAAGCTGTCTGCATCAAAGGACGCTAGAATAAAGGAAGGGAATGGTCCTGGGAATTAACTTTGAGAGTATATACAATCAATCGAGAATAACTTGTATTATAAAAATCTTAAGAAAGTTTTATCATGTTCCACCACCTATTTCTACAATGGGTCACATAGTCTTCAAATTTGGACTTCAAGAACTCAAACTAGACTTTTGTCTAGCCCAATAGGTTTGAAAACCTTCCAGAAAAGCCCACTTGAAACAACATAATTTGTAACCACACCATATTAGCCTTACTATTTAAACTTATTTCAACTTATTCCTTATGAAGGCAGCAAGATGCTCGCACCTATTTTACAACATCATATTAGCTCCTCAGCCTCATCACATCACCTTCAATCTGTCTCATCTCTTCCTTTTCACTTCTAATCCCATAGATTGGAACCACTTGAGGTCAAACCAAGTTGGGGTGGCGCAGTGATCAACAATAATAAATTTTTTCTCTCCCTCTTTTCTTGTATTTTATTGGTTTTCAGTAAATGGAAATGCTATTTATCTCTTCAAAGGCCAAATTCCTTCATGGCCAAAATTACAATTTTCTTTCAGTTTTCTTTTTCTCTCAAAATCTGGAACCATTGGACATGTATCTGGTCATGTCACATGTTTATCCATATCGAGCTGATATGCTACAGGTAAACCAATGCTTGTGCTTCATAGGATATTATTTATGATGTATATAAGATGGAACTGTGAGGATTATTAGACATGGAAAAAACTTAACAAAATACTCATACACACACATGTATGAAGTCATATTTCATGAAAATTCAGCCTAGCCATACTTGTTCTCCAAGAAATAGTTATTGCTTGGTTAGAAAGCAATATACTAGTTAATCTCCAATGATTCAATAGGCCTATAAAATATTCACTAAATACTCCAAATATATTCAATAAAAATGATGAAAGGAGTGCAAATTTACTCCTATTTTAAAAATCCAACTTGGAAAAATAAAGAGAGGGAGAGAGAAACCCTTGAAAGCTATAACTTGAAGATGTTCAGCCCAGATGAAATTTAAAAGTATGAAAAAAATACTCAAAGAGTCTCATTTGAATAGTTTCAAACCATACACCATGAAAATGACTTCTGCGTTATAGTCTCTAACTATATTAAAACTACAGTACTCATTAGCATGCAAGACTGAGTGTTAAATTTTTATGATATAAAGAAGAGTTCCATTCATTTGTATACCTGACACATTTCTCCTAGCTACCTCTTGGGCACATCGTTGCCTTTCTTCCAAACTAGAACCTCCAACAATAGCTCCAAAAACAGCTCCACCTGTCTAGATTTCATGAATTAATACAAGTTCGTATCAATCAGCCTTAATGTCCAAGAACATGTTTCAAAAGCTATACAAATGTTATTTTGGCATAATAATTAGTAACACTAAATGCATTCCATAATAATGCTGATAAATCCTTAGCTTTCAACGTGATATTTGCTTAAATTTTTCTCAAAAATTCCACATAGAGAGAAGATGCTAGCCATATATTCCTTAAGAAACCACAGCTTATAATTTCATTAATCAAAGCCCCAACATGGTTCCAGTAATTACTTATTAGGAGAACCCTTAGATCTTTCATATCTTCAAAGAAGCAAGACCTTCACATGGTAATTATCTATCTACCAAACAAATAACTAAGTATCATTTTCAACTAAAAAAAGATCGCAAAGCTCATGATCTTAACATTCTAATGAAAATATGGTTTGACCTGAATTTACCAAGACTTGACCTTTATATTGTATAAAAAAAGAATAGAGCAAAAGGAGAGGGAAAAAAGAGTGGAACAGGGGAGACAATTACCCTCTGCATTGATTACAAAAGCAAGGAAACTAGAATGAAGAAAAGGGTTTTTTTTTTTTTTATTACATTATACATAAATTTGGAACTGTTAGCAAATGAAAATTTCCAAGGGCAAAAAACAGATCACAAGCAAGAACTATGAATGGGAATGCTTTACTCTCAAGTGCACCAGGCTTGAAGGCATTTAAAAGGTGGATTTTGCAGGTTGAGGCAGATTTGATTCACATCTAGAACTTGATAAACATAAACGATTTTACTCACAAACCCTCTGCTTTGCTTTATAAAAAATCTCAAATAGGATAATGCATAATGTTTAACTACTTTTACTCACTTCCTATCCGCTCCCCCTTCATCTAAGCACACTATCCAAATCTTCAATGGAACTTCTTAAGGTCTCGGCATACTGAAACAACAGAACTTAACCCAACTAAAGCATAACCTGGGACAAGTTGGCAGAGGCTATGCAACTCAATGTTATCTCTAAAACATTCAAAGATGCCAAATCCTTGTGTTTTAATGGGTCAACCAATTGGTCTACCTACATCTCTCTTTATTCTACTTCAATCAAACCTACTTCTATGTTCTCACAAAATGACTATTTTGTAGGATATCTTCTTGCATGATGAGAAACCCATTTTCACATCCTCATATAATCTATACTCATCCTGTGGGCATGCCATATTCTAACTACCTAATAGTCATACAGCATATCTGGATCTATGGCTATCATATAAAAGTTTCCTTTCAACGTGGCCTCCATCTTATGATCACACCAAATCTTGTAACACAAAACAAACCATCTAATCTACTCTGATCCTATGAATTACAACCTCTTCTACTTCTCCTTCCGTAATATAGGCACTTTTAAGAACCTCCTGCTCATCAATTTGAACTTCACCATTATCCCTGTCTATTCCTTTTACTTAAATTCTTCTGTCTGGATCCACTTTCTAATTATCTACATTGCACAAAGCAATGCTTTTTACAAATTGAAATCCAGCATACTTTCCAAATGTGAGATAAGTTACGATTAACAAAAGGAGAGCATCATAAACATTGTCTAGTAATAACATCAATACTGGTTTAAATGATGATAATCATCTTTCGTAAAAATCCAAAAACATGTTATTCTTAGTAAGCCAAAGAACAAAGAAAAAATGAGAGGAAGAAAATTACAGGGCTTAATGCAATGCATTCATCAAGCCATTTGATAGTCCGATCCACTGAGGTCTTGTTCCTCTTATCAGACACCCATGCAGGCACTTCATCAGCCAAAGTAGCCCACAGCTCGGGCCTCAAGGAAGATATCATTTCCATATATTCTGCTGGTTTAATCTGGTAATCATAATAAAATTTACACAAAATTACAAATACTACAAAAAAATTAACACATCACAAGCGATAAAATGAAGTTACTCTAAGTCGAGCAAAAATACCAAAAGACGACCACAAGGGGTCTCGAAAGACGCCCCAACTTTGTTTGTGCTATTAGCTTCGGGAAGGCATTGAATGGAATCCCTTGGAACAGCCGCAAACCCATATTCATGCAAACCAAGCATCTGGTGAAGCCCTCCAATCTTTGAGATTGTTGTCATGGATAGGCCTTCCAAGCTGCAATACACAAAATATTGAGCAGAGAAGAAAAGACAAACAAAACAAAGAGTTTGAAAGGCAAATGAAAGCTTACAAGTGAAGGGGGCTGACATGGAGGAGATGAGAGTCAGGCGAAGGAAGCGAAGGGAGAAGGTCAGGAGAGATAAAAAGGGGCAGGCCTTTACGGGTGGAGAGGAGAAGAGAAGGTGTATCGATGGGGGTGGGGCAGCAGTCCAGGTGGAGCACACCTGCCCGTGCTCTTCCGTTGCTCCATGCCTTCACCGCGAACTTCATAGCACTGCTGTGGATGGAATTGGAGCTGGACATAGAGGGTCTTTGGAGGCTGCGACACGACAGGGTTTTGTTGAGATTTTGGGAGAACTTCCGATTGGATTTTAGGTCCGGTTAATTAAAGTAGGATGATTTTCGGATCTTAAAAATTTTGGGCTAATTTCGGATTTGGACTTTTTTTTTCATATTGTTTCTTTTTCGGTTTATTTCCGGATCATTTATGATTACGATAATTTTGAATTCAAATTATTTTAAATTTAATTATTTTGATTCAATTAATTTTGAATTCAAATAATTAAAATTTAATATTTGAATTATTCAAATTTAGGTCATTTCAAATTTAATTTATTAATTTTTAAAATCAAATCAAATTAATTTTAAATAAATTATTTGTTTGAGTCAAATTTTATGAAAATTCTAAATGTCATTATCTTTCTAAAGACAATCAAAATTTAAACCCCAAATTAAAAAATTTTCTTTTCAAACTCATCATACTCATTTATCTTCTAACACTTATCTCTTTTCAATCTTAAAAATTCTTCAATTTTTTATAAATTCTTTCTCTCTATTTATTAATCTCACATTCTTCTCTCAAACTTTCAATCTCGATGTTAAAAACTTCAATCACTCTCAAAATTTAGGCAACTTTTAGATGAAATCAAAGGTTGGAAGTAAATCGATTTAAATATAGAGATAATCTATATTTAATTTTCATTTGATTGAATTTTGAAGATGATTTGATTTTTGTGTGCTATCATGACTTACAGAAATAAGTTCCCTTAAAAAATAAAATGTCAATGGATCTATACATCCATAATATTATAAATTCATACATATATGCAAATCCATAGGTGTTTTGAAGTTGGCAAATATGAAAACTAATTATATGCATGTCCATCAATTTCAAAACACTTACGGATATTCATGTCCGAAAGTAACAACTAATGACAATATGCAAATTCTAGATTGTATGAAGGGGATGAAAGATTTAAAGGAAAATTATGTAAGGTTAATTAAGTAATTTGTTAAGAGGGTATTTTTGTCATAAAATTTTATGTCTATAATGAGTAAAATTTGGAGAGGTTATAAAAATGAGCAAAATTTAGGATGTATTTATAACCTCTCCAAATTTTATTAGAACTATATTAAGGGAGCCTTTAAATGCATCCCTGTTTTTGCTTTTTACATCCTTTTTTTTTAATTTATATATAAGTGAAATTATTTAATTATTCTTCTTACAAGTTTTCGGATGTCTATATTCGGTAAGTTGCATAATTTACTAAAAATAAAATTTTAAAAGTTATATAACTTTCAAAAAAATAGATATTCAAAAAGTTATATAACTTTTCAAAAATTGATTTTCAGATAATAAGGTATTAAAGTTTTAAGAAAAATTATAAAAAAAAAGAAAATGTATTAGAAATTTTTACTAATTAGTGTAATAAAAAATTATTATTGGAAAAAATAAAATTTAAAATTAATAAAAAGAAAGTTAATTTTACTATTATGATCTTAAAGAAAGAATAAAATCTTATAAAACCCTAATTAAACTAAGGATACGATACTAAATACAATTTCTTTTATAAATTTAAAATTCATCATTTTTTCAATAAATATTTTTTTAGTATTGATTATTAAAATTTTATTATAACTCTAACTAAACTAAATTTTTAAGAGAAGTCTCTTCATTTACTTATCACGATAAATTTTTCTAGTTAGCATATTAGATTTCAATAAAATTATATAATATTTAATAGCATTACTTTGTATAGCTTTCAAGAATTTCAACTCATAAATGTTGATAAGATTTTATTGTTCCTTTATTATCTTTTGTAACATTAAGAAATAAAATATTTTAATTAAGGTTTCATAAGATCTTATTTTTTTCTTTAAGGACAAAATAGTAAAATCAATTTTTTTATTAATTTTTAAATTTATGATTTTTTTAATAATATTTTTTTCATTACATCAATTAATAAAACTTTCTAATAAAATTATTTTTTTGTAATTTTTATAACCTTTCTTTTGCAAATGAATTTTCAAAAAGTTATATAAGTTTCTAAAAATCCATTTTTGGTAAGTTATAAACTCAATCGAATATGGATATTCAAAATTTTGTGAGAAAGGTAATTAAATAATTTTACTTATAAAAAATTAAAAAAAAAAGGGATTGAAGATTAAAAATCTATGATGAATTTGGAAGCCTTCTTATATTAAAAGACAAAAACTAAATAAATAATATTTTAAAAATAAATATAAACATTATAATTTGTATGCTTCAAATTAGAGTTATCTTTTTATATAAATGAAAAACATGTGATTTTATTTTTCAATTACTAAAATATTTGTACTTAAAGTTTCATTGTAGTTATTGGTTCACTTTTAATCAATTCTAACAAAATCATCTAAACCCTTAATTTCTATATCTTAAACCAATCCGATATTAGTAGGTTATCACTAACTCACTATAAGCTTTATATATATATATATATATATATTAATATGCCTATATGAATTATGATATGAATTATATGATGAATGATATTATTATTGAAATGAAAATTGTTACCTAATAAATCAAATATAATAATATGTTAAGATCCACATCAATTTTATTTTATACCAAATATGTGATGAGATCGAGGTTATGCACAACTTAATTAACGGGTTATTGGTTTCTTAAATTACTCAAATATTATTTACTATGCCTATAAGACTATACCACTATAGCCTATAGTCTAGATATGTAAGCCAAACCCTTATAGTGTTATTATTAAAATGAAATTATTAACTAGTAAGTGTAAAATGAAAAGTTCAAATAAAGGATATTTAAAAGCTCTAAGCCTTAATGTTTATTATAAATTAATAATTTATGTTATATTTATTTTTTTATTAAATTAGTGTTTTTTAAAAATAAAATTATACTTAATTTAAGTGTAAATTATTTCAGTTTTAATTTTTTAGGTCAATTAGGGTTTGGGCTAGTTCAAGTTTGTATTAATTCAATTTTGATTGTTTTTCGAATTGGGTTAATTAGGGTTCAAGTTTTAGGTTATTGACTTTTTATGATCATATCGGGTTGAGTAGGGTTTTAATTCGGGTGAGCTAGGTTAGTTTTTTGGGTTCTGATCATAATTAACATATGTAGTCTAAAATAATAATTAAGATGAAAGATAATTTTTTTAGGAATGCTTTACTTGTATATATTCAAAAAGAAATTCCAAAAAGTTTTAGTGTAAATGAAATAATTTATGATTTTAATGCAATAAATGAACAAAGTATGCAATTCAAATAATTTTTTTAAAAATTTCTTCTAGTTCATCTTTGTTTAATAGAAAATTTTCTTTAATTTAATTTTACAAAATATGAAAATATCAGTATTATCCATTATTTGAGCCCCCTTCATGACTTTTTTGGTTTTGTCTTTATTAACAATGTCCCTAAAACTTATAACAAAAAAACATATAAATAAAATTTAAAGGCATAAAGTTTACAACCCAATATATATAATTTATATGATGATAAACATACATAACAAATTACATAAATATCCCTAATATAAATGACATTGTATAATGCACTACATAAAAGCAAAAAATAACAACATAATGATATGTCAAATTATCAAAATACTATTTAAATAGATTACATACTTTGGACATAATAACAATAGGGTTAATATGTAATTTAACCATTGAATTATATCAATTTTTATGATTTGGTACCTATTGAAAAAAATTCATGATTATGTTTAGGTATTCAAATTTTCATTTCATCATGTATTTTATCACACATCTTTAATACTATTAGTCAAAATGCTAACATGACTTAAACGATCAGAAACAACGCGTAAACTGTCACATAAATACCATATCAATTGCCACGTGTATACAAAATGTCACAACATTTTTATTTTTATTTTTTGAAATTAAAAATAAATAAAAAAATAAATTTGAAAGAGCAAAAAAATGGAAAAAGAAAAGAGAGAAAGAGAAAAATGGTAAAAAAGAACAGAGAAAGAGATAACGAATAGGGAAAAGGAAGAAAAAGGTGATTGGCATTTGTCTAGTTCAGATTGAAAGTCGATCAATCTAATAAAAAAAAAAACTTACTGTCTCTGAAGCAACGTCATTTAATGGCATAAAATTAATAAATGGAAGATAATGGTTGAAATTATACACGTTAGGTCGCAAAAGAAAAGTTCTTTCCCCACCTAAGCTTCTTTAACTAGGCTTTTCTACCCATTCAGCCTGATTATACCAGGCTTTATTCAATTTTACCTAAAAAAAAAATTCAAGTGGAACTGATAATAAGATGACAAGTTTTTATTTTAAAACCATAATTCTAGTTTAATGAATTTCATGTCAACAAAATTAATTATCAACAAGTATAAATTTATGTTTTCATTAGAAGAAACTACTATATATGGAAAGATTTTTAAATTTACTATGTATAATATATCTCAAATAAAATAATGATAGTTAAATTGAAAGGTGTCAACGAAATTAAGTGGAAAGCTTATGAAAAACGATGTTTCAAATTTTAAAAGAATGTTTATTCTAAACGTAAATGTAGGAAGTAGGATTTAATTTGTTAGTGGATTTTTTTGTTTAGTTTATTTTGTTAGTAAGTGGTCTTTATTATTATTATTATTATTTTGGGCTTAAAGCTAAGTTATGTTAGTATATGTCTTATATTGAATTGGATTGGGTATGGGATATGCTATTATTAATGCATTTCTATAACTTATTATTGATGTGATAAAAAGTTTTCTTTCATCATTAACATAAGGATAAAGAGTTATTAATATGCTAATTGGATGAAACCCATGGAACACAAAGGCCTTACAAGAAAATTATATAAAGGATTGCAATTATGAAATCTTTATGCATCAAAACTATTTTCCTAAAATTGTTCCTGGTCATTATATTATTGTGATTGTGCAAAACTATGCTCGAAGATTGGTACATATTAAGCTTCCTTAATTGTAAAGTAAGTAGTTTGTCTCTAGGTTGAAGTATATGAATACTTGGGCAAAACATATAGGTACTTGTTAAAGAATAAATTCATTAAATATGGCTCGCTATGATAACTATTTCACTCAAGTGTCAATGAAAATGTTCTTATGTGTCAATAGTGTAACTAATTCTTAAACTTGAGACATTAGCTCATCTTATATACGAGTTATCATACTT